AGCACAGGGGGCAGAGTGGATGATGTGGCTCTCACTGCTGTTATGTCCTTGCAGGGAAGCTGGACGAGAAGAAGCCTCCTGAAGCTGATATGAAGTAAGTGCCTCCCTGCCCTTAGGCTGTGGGGTCACAGCTCTGTCCCTTAGGGACTGGCTTTTTGGTCCACCACATTTAGAGAGGGCTGAGTTTGGAACTGCTGGACCTATGGTTTGTAGGACAAGGCTGGAGGCAATCTCTGGTTTGGATTTCATGCTTGAGGCAGGGCTCACTATTGCCCTGGACCATAAGGCTCAGGTCGTGCAGCAGAAGGGAGCAGAAGTGCAGTGGTACTCTGACAGATATGGGAACCACTTCCATATCTGGTGTCCTTGGCTCTCAGTGCTGGTCCCGTGTGCTCCGGGTCACAAGGACGTGGTTATGGCCTCTCTTCCTGCAGCACATGTAACTCCAGGCTCTTTTCCACTTGTAGCATCTTTGAAGACATTGGGGATTATGTTCCCTCCACTGCTAAGATGCCACGGGACAAGGAACGGGAGAGGTACCGGGAGAGAGAGAGGGACCGGGACCGGGAGCGAGACCGGGACCGAGAACGTGACAGGGACCGGGAGCGCGAGAGGGACAGGGAGCGGGACCGGGAGCGGGAGGAGGAGAAGAAGAGACACAGCTACTTTGAGAAGCCCAAGGCTGATGATGAGGTGAGTCTCTGCTCGTGAAGGACTGTCCCACCTCAGCTCTGCCCTTTGTGGGGTTGGGGGGACTTTGGGTATCTCTGGTTGTGCCCCACATGTGCCAGTGTCAGCACTAGCAGCAGCCTGTTGGGTTTGTGGTTCAGCTCTGTGTAATTCATTAACACTGTCTCTCCCTCTCCTTTGCAGCCCACAGACATTGACAAAGGTGAGTCAAATGGTGTGGGTACCTGAGAGGGATAGGACAAGAGGGAATGGTTTTAAGCTAAAAGAGAAGAGATGTAGATTTGATACTAGGAAGAAATTCTTCCCTGTGAGGGTGGTGGAGCCCTGGCAAAGGTTGCCCAGAGAAATTGTGGCTGCCTCATCACTGGAAGTGTTCAAGGCCCGGTTGGACAGGGCTTGGAGAAATCCAGGATAGTGGAAGGTGTCCCTGTCTATGGTAGGGAGTTGGATCAAGATAGGCTTCAGGATCCCTTCCAAGACAAACTGTTGTAAGATTCCAGGTCTCCTGGGATCAGCTGACCCCATCAGTGCCAAATTGGTTTGCTCTTCCTCTCGTGCAGCTTATCCTGCCTGTTACTGTGTCCCACAGGGACTCTGCCCGGCCCCAGTGTTCTGCAGTGAGCTGTTCTTCCCCCCAAATTTAACCTTCTGCTTTCTCCTCCCCAGGACCCGGCTCAGCCAAGGAGCTCATCAAGTCTATCAATGAGAAGTTTGCTGGAGCTGCTGGCTGGGAGGGAACAGAGGCATATCCTTTACTGGCTGTGCCAGCCTGGCTGGCTGTGGGGGTAGGCTGCCCTTGCAGACACAAGCACATCTGGGGGACTGTCCTGCCTCACCTGGTAGCAGGGAAATGCTGCTCAAGCCTTGCTTCTCCCACACCAGACAAAAGCTCTGCACCCCCCGGTTTGGTTGGGGCGGGGGGGGTTTCCAGCTGGCTGTGCCCAGCCTGTAGCTGTAAGGCTCAGCTCATGTGGTGCTTTCCTTAACTGCTGCCACTTTGAAGAAACCAGAAGACAAGAAGCAGCTGGGAGACTTCTTTGGCATGTCCAACAGCTATGCTGAGTGCTACCCTGCCACGTAAGGAGCAGCGGGAAGCTGTGGGGTGGGAGCAGGGTGTGCCAAGGGGCTGCTGTTCTCTGGCAGCAAGAACTTGAACATTAGCCCCACTGTTTGTTGGGGAGCAGGCCTGGCCTTGTCTGTGGCAACAGCTGACTGGTAAAACCATCCTAAGCCCTTGCTTCAGGTTCTTGTTAGCTGCTCTCTGCTGTTAGTGGCTGCCTGGAGCCTGCTGCCCCTCTGAGCCAGGGGGAGGCTGAGATGGCTGGGAATATGCTGCATTCCCTGTTAATCCATGTGGCTGTGGAACTCTGGCTTCCCTCAGTGGAAAAGAAACATCTTTCAGCCTGCAGAGTCATCCTGGAAGCATTTCCAACCTTGGATGCCCTGTGGTACAGGTCACCTGCAGGGCTTGCAGCTGGGGCCACTTCCCTCTGGTCCAGGAACTGATAGTGTTTGGTGTGAGGCCATGAGACATGACTCCCACCAGCTCCAAGGTCCTGATCCATCTCTTGGACCCACTCTGAACCCTTTATTTTCTTTTTTCTCCCCAGAATGGATGATATGGCTGTGGACAGTGATGAGGAGGTGGACTACAGCAAAATGGATCAGGTATGTTGGCACCAGCCTTCAGGAGCAGCTATAGCAAAGTAGGCACCAGTGCCAGCTGAGAGGATCCCGTGGGAGAGGAGCAGCACTGGAGCTGGGTGCAGAGTGAGATTTGGGGTTTGCTCCTCTGCTCCCTGTTGTGTCACTGACCCAGAGGTGTTGACAGGCATGCTACTCTGTTCTGACTTCCTCTTCCACAAAATCCAGCACTTTTTGGGGAAGGGATCTGGAGCCAAGGCCATTGTTCTGGGGCTAATGGGAGATGGAGCCTTGTGGCTGGGTGTGCAGGGCTCCCAGCAGCAACTGAGGAGCTGCTCTGAGTCGTTCTCTCCCTGCAGGGTAACAAGAAGGGGCCTCTGGGCCGCTGGGACTTTGACACGCAGGAGGAGTACAGCGAGTACATGAACAACAAAGAGGCTCTGCCCAAGTGAGTGCAGCCCTCAGAGAGGGCTAAGTGAGGGTTCTGGGTGGGATGGCCATGCTGGCCAAGCCTGGGTGCTGGGGCAGCTTAGAGAAAACTGGGGGCTCCCTTGTGAGAACCTGAGGAGGAGCTGTGGGTCCTGGACCTGGTGGTTTGTTTTTACTCTTAATGTCACTCTTGGGAACTCCAGCCCAGGCGCTGCTTTTGAGGGCTCAGGCCAGCTCTGGAGCATGTGCTCGTGGCTGGGTAGATGTGTCCCTCCCTCTGGCAGGCTGTGGATCCCCTGTGGGTGCTGAGCCATGCCTTGCTCCTTCCCCAGGGCAGCGTTCCAGTACGGTATCAAGATGTCTGAGGGACGCAAGACGCGCCGCTTCAAGGAGACCAACGACAAGGCAGAGCTGGACCGGCAGTGGAAGAAGATCAGCGCGGTGAGTGCCCGAGCTGGGCTGGGGCTGCTGTGCCGGGACAGCCCCACCCAGTCCTGTCCTCCTGCCCCAGCCATGGGTCTTCAGTCCAGCCACGTGCTGCCAGTCTGTGTGTGAGCACCAGGCCTGGCTCTCTACCAGCTGGATTTGCTCCTTGCAAGAGCATCAGCTCGGGGCTTCTGTATTGCAGAGGTGTCTGGAGCTGTCTTTGGAACTGTTGTCCTGGGAGCAGCCCCAGTCAGGGGCTTTTTGCTCTGGGCTGTGCAGATGAATGTGTCCAAGAGTGTTAGTTTGGGGGATTGAAGGAGACAGGATATGTTTAGTGGCTCCCTGTTTGCCAGCTGGCAGAGCTGGGAGTTACCTGGCAGGGTGAGCAGTATGGGATGGGCTGGGGAAGGTGAGAATCAATGGTCTGTGGTGGCCAGAAAGGAGCAAACAGGCCAAGCTTCTCCAACTGTAGCTCACCTCACCTCACTCTGGCCTGGCTGCAGCTCTCCCCAGGTGTATCTGGCACCCTCTAGCCCCTCTGTTAGTTGTGAGGAGCCAGATTCCTTGAGGGTAACAGGACTTTGTGGTTTCTCTGCAGATCATTGAGAAGAGGAAGAAGTTGGAGGCTGATGGGTAAGTACAGCAGTCTCTGTTTCTGGCTCAAGATGCAGGGGCCTTGTTGGGGTCCCCCCACCTTCTGTGGTGTGAAAGTGTGGATGTCAGTGCTGAGCTCTGGATGGTAAGGTGGTGGAGCTGTCTGCCCCACATCCTCACCACTCTCCTGCCCCTCTCTCTCTTCCAGGGTTGAAGTGAAACGTCCCAAGTACTGATTTCTCCCAAGTTTTTTCCTCCCTCTCCTGGAAGCCTGGCCTACTGGGAGCTGCCTTCATGGAGTGTGCTGGTGTGCTCTCCTTGCCCCAGACACTGTTCACTCTGCTCAGGGCTGGGGGCTCTTCCCTCCCTCTGTTCTTTGCTGTAGAGCCTGTGCTGTGTAAATGTTGTAGCCTTAATAAAACCACATTAAATTTGTGTGTGGATATCTGTTTGTGCAGAGAGGACGGGCCTGGGCACATTTTGGCCTCCTTTGGAGCAGCAGGGATCCTAGGACTCTTCTACTTCAGGCGCGCTTGGTGCTGACACGACAAACTGTGGCTTAATGTAGTTGTTGGGCTTTTGGGTTGGGGGCAGCATCCCTGGTTAACAAGTCCCAGCTGAACATTCTGTGCCTCAGGACAGTGGGAAGAAAGGGGTCCTGAGCTCGGGTACAGCATGTGCAGTGACCTGAAGCAGTGGATGTGCAAGCTGCTCTAAGCACTGAATGTGTGTTATGGGGCCAGCACCAGGCAAAGCTTGTTCCCCTCAGGGCAGGGCCAGCAGGGAGCTGGGCTGGCCCCTCGGGCAGGGGCGCTGCTGGTGGTCCCTGGCTGGACTGGGCTCGGGGGGCCCTGCAAGGGGCCCAAGTGCCACCTGGTCCCTGGCTGCCCCTTCCCCTGGGAGCACAGAGGAGATGACGGTGTGAATTAAGGAGCCCGTGGTGTGAATTAAGGAGCCCGTGGTGTGAATTAAGGAGCCTGTGGCGCTCCCAATGGTAAAGCGCTAAAGAGCAGGAAAACATGAGACGGGTGGGGAGCGAACTGATGGAATGGGGCTACGGGCGCCCGCAGGCTGGCAGCCCGAGTTGGTGCCACCCTGAGCGGGCATGCCCGGGCCGGGCCCTCCGCGCTGGAGAGGAGCGAGTGAGCGGACCCATGTAAGTAAAGGGGCGGGGTTATACAAATGAGAGGCGTGCTCATGCAAATGAGCAGCGCGCCATGGCGGCCGCCATGGAGGAGGTGAGCACGCGTGGGGCTGCGGGACCCCGGAGCTGCCGGCCCCGGTCCCACGGCCCCGCTCTCGCCAGGAGCCCCCGGAGTCCCCGGAGCCGGCGGCGCGGGAGCCGCGAGTGCGGGACACTCCCGAGGACATTTGTCTGGAGGCCACGGCCAACGCCATCGCGCTGCACCCGGCGCGGCCGCTGCTGGCCGCGGGGGACGTGGACGGCGATGTGTACCTGTGAGTGAGGCCGGGAATGGGGAGGGGGTCCCGGCTCTGGGACCCGCTGGGTAGCGGCGGCGGGGCTGCCCGGCCGCTCGCGGGTCCCGGCGAGCACTCCCACTGCCGGCAGGTACTCGTACTCCTGCACCGAGGGGGAGAACCGGCAGCTCTGGTCCTCGGGACATCACCTCAAGTCGTGCCGGGACGTGGCGTTCTCCCAGGACGGGCAGAGTGAGTGCGGGGGACGTGGGGTGGCACCGGGGGACGCCGGGCGGGGGGCACTAACGCGGCTCTCCAGAGCTTTTCACTGTGTCCAAGGATAAGGCCATCCACATCCTGACAGCGGAGGAGGGACGGCTGGAAACGCGCTTCCCCAAGGCCCACGAGTAAGTCTATGGGCGGCTCATGCTGGGCAGGACGGCTGGGGCATTGTCCCCTTCCCTCCCGGGCAGGGCCACACAGCCCCGGGGCGGACAGGGAGAGCCCGGAGCGTTGCTCCCGGAGCCGTGACCGTGGGGCCGGGGTCTCTGCAGATCGGCTCTCAACTGCGTGCTGCCCATCGACAACCACATCTTTGCCACGGGCGATGACGGCGGGGCAGTGAAGGTGTGGGACCTGCGCAGGGGCAGTGCCATCCTGGAGGCACGGCAGCAGGAGGAATACATCAGTGCCATGACCGTGGATGGCAATGGGAAGATCCTACTGACAGCCAGGTACTGGAAGGTTTCATGGTCTTGGGGTTGGGTTCCCCATGTCCATTCATGGCTGGAGTGCCCTGTGCCACGTCCTGTGCTCACAACGTGTCCCTTCCACCTCCCACAGTGGTGATGGCACCCTGGGTGTCTTTAACGTGAAGAGGCGACGCTTTGAGCTGGTCTCGGAGCCGCAGAACGGGGACCTGACGTCTGTGGTGCTGATGAAGGTTGGCATTGCTCCCCAACGTGGAGCAGGATCCCATAGCCCCCCGTTCTCGCTCCGAGTTTTTTGTTCTGCCTCGTTCCTAGAGGGGGAGGAAGGTGGCGTGTGGCTCCAGCGAAGGCACCATCTACCTCTTCAACTGGGATGGCTTCGGGGCCGCCAGCGACCGCTTTGCGCTCAGGGCAGAGACCATTGACTGCATGGTGCCCATCACAGACAGCATCGTGTGCGTGGGGTCCCTGGACGGAGTCATCAGGTCAGGGGGGTGCGGTGGGGAGGGATGGGATGGGATGGGGTGGG